GCCAAAAATGACCTGATGCGAGTGTCTCGACACACCGCTTCAAACTCAGGATTTTTTCTGCGGAAGTTCAAACGCTGGCACAGTATCGGGAGCGTTGGACTCACTGTATTACGAGTCTACCTCATCCACTCGATACGATAAGCAATCAATGAATGTCACTGATTGACTGTAACAAAAACGAAGCGAGTAACTGCAGTTCACTTCTTAGCATAAGGCTGTGAGTAGATTTAAATTTTTTGATGCTTGAACTGTTTTCTAAACCACAATCGTCACGTCACGCGTTGCATTCTTTTCGTTGGGATTCTGAACTCTGCTCAAACTGAAAGGAAGCGATTACGAAAACTCGTTGAAGACGAAATTTAGCGCTGGTACTCATGAAATGGTACTATCTTGACAAATAAGCGGTGGTAATTTCCGTTTGTCGACTTTTGCTTGCTATGGGTGGGCCTTGAAGGCACTTCGTTGTCCCTTGGTATATTCTCTTTTTCCTTTTTTTCGGTCTCCACCACTGACTAAGTACTATGACCATTGGATCATTCCAAGGTGTTCTTGGACGACCAGGGAGAAGTAAATGATTCTGCGGAATCCAGCATATGATTCTCAACGTCCATCGGTTGTCCCACGGGTAAATACATGGCCGGCGTATGTTCCTTTACGTTGTAGAAGACAGAAATCGCATCTTTAAACGACATTCGCTGTTCAGTTTGTGTACTTGGAATGTCATCCAAAACGGAAACTTTCTACAATCTTCGTTCCATCGTCCTTTGCGTAACCATCAGTTTGATCTCCCTAGGTTCATCAGGAGATTAACGTTCAACGCCAAGGTTCATGGGAGAAAGGATCCTTGAATCCGGTAGTTTATTCATCATAATTCAAACGTTCAATCCGTCGTTTCTTTGATAAGATCGCTTTTTATTATGACGACAGATTCATTTTGGATCTAGATCTCTCATCTATATCACCGCTACTATTCCAAATCTATTATTGTTCGAATGCGTGTTTATATAGCTACTCATTTACTAGCATAATTGCTTATGCCTTTTATGATTCATTTTCTCAGAGCAAACTGTTCTATTATGCACGTGAAGACATATTCAAGTTCTTTACTCTGTGTTCGAAAATAAACGGCAATCAAAGTACAGACTAGGATCTCTTAACCAGTAGCCACAAGTTTTTTGAATTCCAGAATTTTTCGCTGGCAAGCTATAATAATTTACCATGCACCAACGAGTCTCCTCTTGTTTTTTTAATAATGTCTGTTTTGGGGAACAACATTTTGTAGCGTATGAACGAAACATGATTGATTTCGCATTCTACTTATTGCAGCTCATCAAGCCGCTAAGCGTAGTCTGACTGCAAAGCGGAACTAAAGACCATGGACCTCAATGCTCATTTATTACTAAATCGACCATGATCAGGGATTAACGTTCTGTAACATTATCGTTCGATGGCGATTACTGATAAATAATTACTAATTACATTAGTTTCATGGAATTTTGATTCGTATTTATTCTTGTGAAAATTCGCTTAAAAGTCAGGAGATTCCAGTCAGAAACACGATCTGTTGTAAGAGTAGTGAATAATTGATGGTCCTTATGCGCACAACATCGTTCACATCCTTCATCACGAGAAAACCAGTCGTCGGTTAGCTTTGCTTTCTTTTATCTTGATCGAGTACAGCATTCGTTGAGTGCTGAAAAAGATGTACTTTTCCGTTTCAAACAGGCTTTTCTGACACGACAAAACAACAGCATTGCTTTTGAAAACCTTAGCTGCTAAAGCTACGTTCTTTATGTTTGTCTCTATGTTACATTCTGCTATGTAGTGCATGGACTTTTACAACTTAACTTTATTTGGAAGGGGCAAAAATTGGCCGCCTATTGTAACAGCATGAATGCTTATGTTCCAGCTGAAGGGAGAATTTTTCAGCACTTGAGAACAGCAGAGTCAAGTACTCTCGACAACTGAGACTGGATAGTAGTCTGACTTGACACCTAAAATGTGCAGGGTTCATTATCAATTTACTCGAACAAAAATGCGTCCTCTATGCTTTAGAGTGGTCAAGTGTGACATCGCTCACTGCCGAATCATTGGATCAGCATAGTGTTCTGGCGTGGTCATGTAACGGCATCTATGTTAGGTGGCAGGCTGCCTGACGCGTGAGCCCTATGATTGCAATTTACCTTGACCCACATAACTTATTAAATCAGTACAAGGTGTTGCTTGTAAACTGAATGGATTGTGCAATGCTAAATCCAAGTCGTTGACTTTAGTAAGTTCAAGTTCTGTGTATGAAAAAGCAGTTACACAAATCCATACCTCAAATGGTTTTGCATCAAATCAAAGAAAGAAAATATGGCATAAAGATAAAATTAGGGTGCAGAATTTGAATTTGAAGGTGAAACATAACTTGGTCTCATGAAAAGCACCATTTAACATAAAAATTCCTTAAATTGCTGAGGTATTCTATAAGGGTGTACTGAAGTTTATGGAATGAAGTGTATATTTGAATAGAGTGACAAAATCTGAGACAGAGCCGAGGAAAAGAAACGGTTAGACAAGTACCTATGATGTTGTACCTTACCAAGAGGACTATGAGGCATTATTGAAAGCTGGAAGAAGATTAGAAAGATCAAAACCATGGAGCAATTCATGACAAGCGAAAGAAGAAGCTCTTTGGTCGCACACTCGTTGACAAAGTTTTATGTGTTTTTGTTTTGTCATTAATTGCTATGATTCAAGCCAAACAAATTTTAATGAAACGATCATATTGCATATCAGTATTTGTGGCAGCAGCGCGTTTTAACATGAACACATCTATCAAAAACAATACGCTAAGGAGTGGCACATCAAGGTTACGCACGGAAGAATGCATTATTTATTATCGTTAATCTGCTTGATAAATTTGTAACGGATCGGTTGTCAAAGTCATATGAATATCGTAATACCTGTAAAACAAATGTCTTGAAGAATAACCTTGAATGTGTTCTGGCAATCGACATGAGCGTTTTCCAAGAGGAGCATGTGATGGTGAAATGTTCCGTGCCGTCATCCTATCCATTGTGGATAGTTCTAGTATAGGTGTACTTGACTGCATCCACCAGTCCTTCTTTGTGTGATTCCCAAAACTTATGGCTTAATTTCTTCACTGATACTTTCGAAAATAATAATGATAAATGCCAGCCTCTGTTCACAGCCGATATGACATGAATTACACGTTTGCAAAGTTCAGAGTATCAAGTTTTCCAGTTTTGACCATTTTAATGGCACGAAAGATATTTGTTCATCCCCAAGATTCATTCAATAGCCACCGTCCTGCTCTTTCGTCAAATTCCTGAAGAATCATCATCTTCCGTTAAGAGGAAAGACCCTACGCCACGGGGTTAAGCAATTTTCACTGTGCCTTCTTTAGGTATAGTACTGACGAGAGTGCTTTCTAGAGGGAATGAGGGACTCTGTCGACATTTCCACTTCAACTGATGGAATATGGTACTTGGCCGATTTTGACGACTGGGAGTCAACATCAGATTTTAAAGAGCTTGGTGGTACCTTAGCTATGCAATGAATTGCCATTGCATTCTTTTTAGCAGTCGTTAAACCTTCCTGATGCCTTAAAATACTAGGTCTACAAAACATGCGGATTCAGCGGTCAATGAACATTCTTATATGTTTTGCGAAAATCTATGTAAAGAAATATTCTACCTACCACCGCAAATGATTGGAGAGGGATTCGTCATCCATGTCAATTCACGTTAGTCAAATTATCCATGCATTTTGAACAGAGGAAACCAGCGCAGAGGTTAGGCATCAAAAATACAGATGATATTGCACTGATGACATCAAGGAAGGTATTGAATAGAACATCCCTCTGAATTGTGGCGTGTCAAATAAAACAAATACGATACCGAAACATAGTTCAAAATTGTATTTTATACTGTCAAATAGTATTTTATACTGTCAAATAGAACATCCCTCTGAATTGTGGCGTGTCAAATAAAACAAATACGATACCAAAACATAGTTCAAAATTGTATTTTATACTGTCAAATATAAACAGATCAGTGTATATGATAACAATTACCATTATTCCTGTTTTGGAGATTAATTTCTAACTGCAACTTTTGAAAAGTCAGTGTCAGTATCAAGAATACGGAGAGCAGGCAAAAAGTAAGGTAAGTGATAGAATGCACAGTGACAAATAGGGGATGGTATTCTTATTAGTCGCTGCTGCTACGGTGAAGGAGTGTGATAAGCGCTGAAAGAATTGTCTAACAATTGCAGATAACTTTGCTAATATCAGTGGCCATAAAGAGAAAATAAGTTTGAGATTAACATTCAACTCTAAAGCAGCTGCTTGAGGTCGGATTGCTTATGACGAGGAGTATGACCTGTATCACAGCAACTACCATCGCCTAAATCATTCTCACAAGCCAGAGTGCCTGGCATAATTATTCTGGGTACTCGACCTTTGACCCTGACACCTCAGATGACGGTGATAACAGATAACAGCAACAACCGATACAAAAACGAAAATTGGCAACCTGATCTATATAAAATTATTCATATGCACACCATGGCAAATCCCCTAACATTGATTTTCATATGAGCAGCACGGAATGATTTCTGATCTCTAGACCATGTGGAAGATGTAAACTGTCCTGAGCGGATGGGGCAGAAATGCATGAAAACGAATACCGGTTACATTAGAGAATAGCATGGCGCAAGAGGAGTGGTGCAATGTCGCAATTGATGCCATATAGAATCTGATAGAGAATGCATGAAGGACACTGCATTGAAATTTAAGTTTATGAGTTCAGTAGCGTAATAATCGTTGCTGCCAATCGTCAAACTATCGGTTTTGCACTACGATTCGTGCGATGAGTCCTCATTCCTTTTTTAACAGGTTAAACCCTGGCCCAAAGTGATAATGGGCAGAGATGATGACGTCATTTCAGACTGGTTATTAGCAAAAATATGCGACAGCTTTCGCCTTCGGTTAGTCAGCGATGCGACTGACGGAAGAAGGCACAAGGACAATCGGCAGCGAAATACCACGTCCACATGTCGTGCTGCTGGGCGCCCTGGTAAACGTGTCGTCTTTGTCCGCTGTTTATAAGACAAAGCCGGTCAACGGCCACGTTTTACGATTATGACACAATTACCATCGGCGTCAATGCACCTATTGGCGGCATGCCTCGATCATCACAAATTTAGTTACTTGTACACGTTCAGCGGCGTCCTTTTATGTCAGTGTTGTCGATGCACTAAAGATGTTTCTATTTCCGATTAATGACAGCAGGTAGGCGAGATCATTAACTTTAGCAAGTGGTTCGGCGAATCACTTTGGTCAGAGTTAATGAGACATCAGGGTCGCATCGCAGGGACTTCCACTTCCACGTTTTTGTGGCGTAAACAAAACTCTCAAGTGTTTCGTGGATGACTGAATCGTTAACGAAATATTAAACTCAAAGTCGACTATTGACAAACATGATTACTGATGGTACATCGATGGTATGAATTTCATAGCAAAATGCTTATCCTGGTTCGAGGTTTAAATATAAGAAAATTTTTTGAAGTATGTTATTAGTTTCAGGTCATTGGACATTAATGAACTGATCGGAAAGGGAAATTCACGTCTACAGCGGAAAAAAATATAAAGACAAAATTAATTAATGGACAAAAAATGTTAAACTGGATAACAAAGACTGGAGAGCAAATTGTGGGATGCCGCAAGTTGTGGTTACAAGAAAAAAATACATTAGATGCAACATAGATCTGAATGATCAGCTATGTGAATGTTAAAGCCAAAGTATTGAAACTACCATAGATTGGGCCAGAGGTCTCCAAGCTTTTCAGTAAGATGGTCATATTGTACATTTACATATTTTTACGGGCCAAAGAAAAAAATCAATTTTATAATTGAATGAGTAAGTTGTATTTTGATATTTTTGAGTCATCGCGGGAACAATGCGGAAATGACATTAGTTCAGGCCACTTCATAGTGGTCGCAAAGCTTCGCTTTCAACTGGCAACAACATGGAGAAGAGCACAGAAAGGAGCAAACGCCTGATTCGATACCAAGTTTAAAGATCCGGAAACTTGCGTGACATTCAAACATGATATCAAAAGCAAATTTGCTTCTCTCAAGGACATGACTTTCTAAGATCCTTAGCTTAATATAATCTTTATATAAACGGCCATATGGATTTCAAGTTTCAGTGGGGCGGATCAAAACTTTTGGGGTTCAAGACCCTTAGGTTAGACGTATGACATGGCTTCGCTGAACTCTCTACAAGGATTCCGTTAAATTTGAATAACCACTTGAGAGTCAAAACCGAAACCATGGCTTTTGTGATATTCATATTTTCATGGTTTATCGACGGATATGGAAAGACAGTCAAAAGTCATAAATCTGATGACTAAGCTCTTCATGTTTTAGTAGGTTTTCGTCCTAATGCTGACCTATGGTAATGTTTGGTGGTCCATGACTGAAAACTTCGATCTTGGGTACAAGCAGCTGTAACGGGCTTTCTGAGACAAATTACTGAACTCATGCGTCTCGATATGGTCTGTAGTGTAGATATCCAAAAGCCTTGGTGTATAGCTACTGTTTATCCTGACGAGACGTCACAACCGTGATGGATTTGGCTCGTTCTGTGAATGCTTTCAGAAAGGGGGGCGAATTAGCTATTACTAATGCAGACGACCGGCCAAGGACCCGGAAAATGGCCCAAAATAACCTTAGACAAGTGTCTAGAAGGACTCTGCTTCAGACTTGAATCAACCTCTGCTGAACGTCGACGAATAACAAAGTATCGGGAAGTTTGGAGTACTACTGATGCCTCTGATCCCATGGCTCATAAGGACAAACGATCATCGAAACTGACTGACTATGAAATGACATTTGAACGCTTTGTTGCAAGATAGAATTAGACTATTATCTACAGTTACACCACAAACACGTGCGTTC